AATGTACTGTGCTTTAGACATTTTAATTTCAAATAATGTTTATCATTTATCAAAGATTGTAAACGTTTTTTTTTTTTTGGTGATGATAAGTTCTTCATTGTAATTTTAAGGTTCCATTTATTTTAGTTAAAATGAAAGATATTTTCTATCTGAATATGTCGGTTGAAAAGTTATCAATATTTACAGTTGGACTAATGTCTTCACTTTTATACTTTCATGTTTCAGCAGTTGTAACCTTCAACCTTCTTGGTAATGCAGAATATAATTTTTTTTAGATTGCATATTGCTTCCAACTTGCAACAGTTTTATATTTAGTCCTAGTAGCAGACACAGAAAGGAAACTGCAAAATCTCTTACAGAAAATAGTAAAGGAAAGTGAAAATAAAGGACTGACAAACTACAAGAAGACAGAATGCATGGTTATCAGCAAAAGTATGAGCCCAAAATGCAAATTACAAATCAAGGATACTAAAATCAAACAAGTACAAAAATTTAAATATCTGGGAAGTGTTCTAACAGAGGATGGAAAGTGCAACACTGAGATCTGAAGACGTATTGGGATGACCAAAGATGCCTTTCAAAAGCTAAGCAGAGTATTAAGAAACAGAAAAATTTCATTAGAAACAAAGAAAAGAATACTGAACTTTTATGTGATATCTATCCACCTATATGGCATCAAATGCTGGACAATCTCCTCAAAGATGAAGAAGAGACTTGAAGTAACAGGTTCTAGAGAAAGATGATGAGGATACCATGGACTGAACATGTGAGCAATGATGAGGTTTTGGAGAAAAATGGAAACAAAAAGGAAACTTATAGTTAACATCAGGAAGTGGCAGTTGAAATTTCTGGAGCACATAATGAGGAAGGAAGGCTTGGAAAACTTGATACTTACAGGACATATTGAAGGAAAGAGGAACAGAGGAAAGCTGCATGTAAAATACTTGATGGTTGGTATAACAGGCTTTGGGAGAAATAACAAAAAGACAATACTTATTAAGAACTGCAAGGGACAGGATGGTGTGGAGGACCATGATTGCCAACATCCTAAAGGAACACAGCACATAAAAGAAGTGCACATATTAGAATTAAATTAATGTCATTTATCTCATAGCTGTTTCAGAGAAATATTTTGTATAACAGATTTTATTTTACTCAGTTTACCTCATGGTTGATAAAAAAATCTAAGCTGATTTAAATGGTTGCAACCTGATTAAACACAAGAAAGAAAAACCAAAACTATAACCTAATATGAATTCTATTGTAATAATGATAACTGACAAGCATAAGACCAAAAGAAAAAATTATATATAACAGAAGTAAAGACTGTGTTTTACAATAGAATTTTGATATTATAGTAGGGTTGATATTCAGATTAAAAATATTTGTTTGTGTTCAAAAGAAATGTCTTTAAATATGATAAATATTTGGAAATTTTTTTTTTTTTTTTACTGTAGGAGGCCACTCAAGGTAAATGGTTACAAAATTTATACAGATAGGAGAGGAAGATAATGGTTATCTCTAGACATGAACAGATTAAGATTGTAGCAATTGGGGAAACATAATCTTGGGAGTTTATTCCACAGAATAGTGGTTCATGGGAAGAAGCTGTTCAAGTGGAACTTACTTCTTGTCAATGGAATATGGAGGGAATGAGGTAGTTTGTTACAATGTACATGACGGGTCCTAGCTGTGAAGGTTAGACATGGCATAACCAAAGAACATAGTTTGTTTAAGCACTTTCCATGGAAGTAAAAATAGAGCAGTGATAGGCTTGACATATCCATTCTGTGAGAGAGGAGTTGCAAGGTGGAAAATAATTTGTTGCCTGCAAGGTTGCAGAGTTTCTTTTGGACTCTATCAAGACTGGAAATTGAGGACTGGGCAGCTCCTGCCTAAATATGACAGCATGACTACATTTTAGGCCTGATCTGGCTCTTGTAAAAGTAGAGAATAGCACAAGGAGTTAGGTACTTACTCAAGTGTTACAAGAAACCAACCGTTTTTCCTGCATTTTCAATGATAGATTGTATGTACAAGGTCAACTTGAAGTCTGGGGTGAGGCCCAATAGTCTCTCGAGGTATGGAACATCCCTGAGGGGATATCCATTCATTTTGACTTTTGTTGGATCGACAATGATGGAATGTAACCAATTTGGTTTTCGAGGTATTGAATGTAATCATCTAGTTTTTCCTCTATTGAGATGTTAGAGCTAGATCAGATGAGATATTAGCTGCCAAAGCTCTGATCATCTAGAGGTTTAGAGATGCATCCTGATATCTTTGTATCACCAGCACACAGATATTCACAAATGATCTGAGTATACTAAAAGGCAGATCATTTATCTAAAGTTAAAAGGAGGTTAGTCTGAGAAGTGACCCCTGGGTGATTGATTGCTAGGGTCCCATATATATAGTTATAGTTGTACTGATTATTAACGATCTTCAGGGACCTACCTGTTAAGAAGGATTTATAACTGAGAAAACTCTTTCAGTAATTCCATAGCTAGAGATCTTGAACAGCAAACCTTTGTGTTACACCTTGTCAAATTCCTTCAAAATATCTAATGCTATGATCCTTGGGTATATTTGTTGTCTAGAGCCTCACTGATTCTGTGAGTAATGGTAGTTAAGACATCAGCAGCGGATTAGGTCAGTCAAAACCTGTAGTGATTGTCACTCAAGAGGCTGTTCTTTTCTAGGTGCTTAACAACCATCTTGTTGATTATAGCTTCAAAAAGCTTGCTAATGATATTGATAGTATCTAAGGTAGAATCTTATGTCAGATCTTCCAAACATTCAGTACTTGAAGTGAAGAGTATTTCTGTGTAAACTTGATAATATAATGATGATATAATACTGCAATTGAACTAAATTAAGTATAGACTTTCTATTTAAGGTAAAAGTGGTTCTAAATAGCTTACAGCTAAAGTTCTGTGAGTCAGTGTAAATTCTAATAAATCAAAAGTAGATTATAGCATCATTATCATATTATGAACAATTTAAAAACTAAAGTAAACTTAGTAACTAGGATATGCATTTGAACTAATGTCCACATCTTTGTTGTTGTTATCACAATGTCTTAGCCATTGTGTGTTCTAGCCTTCTTCAGATCAATAGACATCTGAGTAACCTTCAGATAACTTTAAACTGAATCCCTTACTTAATTTATGGAGGTATATTGTTCTTATTCCCCTATTTCTTGGGATATCTCATCTTGTTCATTTTAGTACAACTCAATTACTGCTCACCTTATTTCCATGGAGTCTGTGTCTGTACTACCCAGCCCTGGGATTGAACTCACAAGTACTATGACATCAAATTTGAAAACCAATATTTTAGTCTACTAGGATATTTTTCATTAATTATTTGACAATAAAAATTCCCTGAAGTTTAGTCCAAACATAAATAATATAAATACTGATAACTTCTTATCATTAATAATTTATAATGACTCCTATTATATGATATCAGGAATAATAGAAGATGATGCTGAAAAGTTGTCAGCCTAACCTAGTAGTTAATAAAAATAGCAAAAAATTGTTTTGCCATATGGTAAGACTTTTGGAAGTGGCTTTGAGTGAGAACTTTTAGCACCCCTTTGCAGTTCCATAAATTGTGAAAATGAACTTCACTATAAAAGTCAATTCTAATTCTTTAGATTCTCAGACTTTAAATTAAAGATGACACCTTTTGCAAACATTATTATAAAGAAATAGTGAATATACTTTATTTTTTGAGTCTCAGCAACTTTGCTAGTTAAATTGAAGAAAAAGAAACAGACAACTGCATTAAAAAAATGTTCTGTTCTGTTGATCTAATTTATTAGCTTTTTGTTTAGAAAAGTACTAAAATATCACCAATGCAACCGCTTAGAAAATATGCATTTCAGTTCTGAGGTAATGTTGATCAAATAATCTAATTAAAATATTTGTCTCTCTCTCTCTCTTGAATTCTGTTTGTACTTTTTTCCAAATAGGTGACTGACATAATGTCTATTTCATAAAGAATTCAATTTTTCATATCAGCAGATCTGTAGTTTGCTTAATTTGACTTATGTCCTTGGATAAATAATTATGATTGAACTTTTATAATTTAAGGCTATAGGATGAAAGGACAATTTCTATTAACAAAGCCAATTTTCCTGTAAGTAGTATTGTATCTTGAAAGAGAATTTAAAGACAGATTAAAAGAAAGAATATTGATATTTATTGAAATGTCTTCCTCTTTGAAGAATTATTATTGAGAGGAGATGGAGAAATGTATGATTGAAAGCAAAAATAGAAAATTTCAAATCTCAGTTTATATTTTTGTGTGTAATGAGTTGCAGCAATTTTATGTTGATTTTGATTTTTTTTCCTGAATCTACATAATTGAATTAATAAATATAGTAGAATATGATGTATTATGCTACATGAAAAAAGTAAGGTTAGATATTTAAGAAAAAAAACAAAGCATTGTACTTTCATCACATATATAATTTCTCTTAGATCGGAAATGCTGAGAATCAAAAGCCAATAATTTAAAAACATATTATTTTATTGATTGATTTGTTTTCTACAGCTTATCAACCCTTTGCATGCTATTTAAAGCCAGGAAATATTTGTAAATTTTAAGAATTTTACTTTTTTGTTGGATAATAATGGTTTAATGATACAAGTCTTACTAAAGACAAAACATCCATGTTTTTTTAAGTCTTACAGCCACATCACATTGAATTGCTGGTTCCTGTATGATCATTGCAGTTAAGCAATGTCAAGCCTGGTGACTTGATGGGTGACTGGTTGGGATTACAAAGGTGCTGTAAGCTTGGATGTATGAATCCATCTCTTCTCCCCAATTATGGGTTATATAGCTGGTGGGGTGAGTAGAAGAGGTGGATCCATACCATTCCCAAGGGTATTTGCATGCAAGTTAATATAATGACCATAACTGGAATTGGAACTTGGCTCTCTGATTAACAATTCTGAACCATTATCTCACCACCTGCACACCCAAACTTACAGCACCTGGTATTCCCAAGCAGTTACTTATCAAGGTAATGACCAGGCTTGACATTGCTTAACTTCAGTGATTGTATGGGAACTGGTGTTTCAACATGACATGGCTGTAAGCCTTAAGAACCTTGTCTTTGACCAAATACTGGAATAATTCATGGCTGTAATTGTCTAAATAAAGAACAAATAAATTGTTTCTGACCTTTGTTGAAAGTTTGCACTAGTGCTTTTTAGTATTTTATGACCATTGTTGATATCTACTTATGGATATTTCAAGTACAAGACTGATGGCAATTTGAAGGGAATGTTAACGTACTTGGTTGTTGACAATCCTATGATTTACCATATTGCAATTTTATAACTTTTGTCATACATACTGATTTTTTTTTTCATTTTGAAGTATAAGATTCATTTTTTTTATCTTGTCTACATGATGTTTAGAGACAACAAAAAGGATGTTTTTCTGTTATCTTTTAGTGCAGCATTAAAAAGAAATAATGACTAAGTTAAAAATAGGTAAATGGTGAGGTTGTTTTTGTGCAAATTCTGTGTATCACTTATGCTGCTATTGGACTGATTAAAATCTAAGTAAAATAAGAATTGATATTTCCTGTGTTTTCTCTTCATCCTTTAAGGCAAAAATGAACCCACCCAAAAGATAAATACAGTATCATATTTTTATAAATTTTGATTTGACTTATTTCTTCATCTGTTTTTGAGTTTCATATAAACACACATGTACACAAGGATGATTGCTTAGAAGTAAGCAATTAAACTAATGGTTGCATGATCTCAAGTTCAAAAACTGTTCAGAAAATATTTATGAATAATTTTTTAGATGTTTTTTCTTCTCTCTATGAAGAAGTCCTCTCAACTTGGAAAAGAGCTTGAAACCTCCAAGCATTATGTTTCTGTAATCATTAAAATATGTTGGTACTAGTTTACTTGTACTGTAAAAAATGGCAGTAATTTTGAAATTACAATAGTTATATTTTCTTCATATTATTCACATATTGACATCAATTAAAATCTCCTGTTGCCATAACAACAGAATATCTCATTACTAAGGGAGATCAGTTTGTATATAAAGTCACATTATATTTATATTATAGAATAGATGAATATTGTGAAGAAATATTCTTTGTTTATCACAATCTTGACTATTTATCAAAATTAGGATGGTTTAGGTCAAGTATGTGATTAAAAAAATAAAATCTAAACTTACATCATTTTTTGAATTTTGTTTCATTATCTACCTAAACCACAACAATCTGTTATGTTTTTACTGCCTACTGTTCTCAAAGCCCAGTAGAGAAAGCAAAATTTACAATAAAATTTAGCCCTCAAAATTTCCACCAGCTACTACACCAAATGATGTGAAAGCAAATGTAGAACTAAAAGTATACTATCCGTTATTAATACACACCTATTTTCCAAGAATATCATAGAATTTGGTTTTACAGAAGATCAAGCAGCAAAGAGTATCAAATTTATTTTGTGCACAAATCAACTGTGAAAGCATCCATAACATTGTTGTTGCCTCCTTTCACACAGTCTACAATATCAAAAAGGTCATAGACATTGTCAATGGCATCCAGAGTAAGTTTGGCAGCATTGAGGGTCAACAAGAATTGACTCAACAACTTTCATGAATAAAATAGCTGCTGAGCTCAAAGTGGATATGAAGACTGTCATAACGACAGTGCATGATGACTTGGGCCTTAAATCATACACTAGAACACCAATGCACATCCTCACTGTCTACAAAGGCCAGTATGCTTTAAAAGTGAAAGGAAATGCTCAAGAACCTCAAGTAGCATGGGTCCACTGTTAAAATATTTTCTACCAAGAAAATCTTCATAGCTGATGCAGTTTTGAACTGCTGAAATGACCAGTAACTCACAGAATCAACAGTTGATATCAAGGACACAAAGTTAAAGGTTGTACAGCTTTTTAAGGTCATATTGAGGTTGGAAATGTGTTATATAGGAATAAAGTGTCACTGCTGACACTTTAGTTTGAACATAGATCGCCAGTGAGCAAACACAGGCGATCTCATTATTAAATTAAGTAGACCATGTGATCATAGAGAATAATAATTGATCGCTATTTCTCCTCCATACTCTATTACTATCCAGATCACCATTTCTACTTTATCCTCTATTACTATATGTACAAATATTCTCTATACTATTCACTATACTATTTCAGAAAAATTGAAAAATGAACTGAAAAAGAGTTTTCCAGAAGTTTTCTCAGAAGGTCTAGGTGCATGCTTGAAAGCAAAAGCTAAGTTTGAGTTAAAAGAGAATATAACACTGACATTTAAGCCAAAAAGGAGTGTACCTTTTGCAATTTTAGAACCAATTAATAATGAATTGGACAGACTAGAAAAAGTAGGTGTGATATCAAAAATAGATTATTCTGAATGGTCATCACCAACAGTCTACGTTAAAAAAAGAATAAAATCTGCATATGTGTTGATTTTTCAACAAGGGTTAAATGAAAGTTTAAAACAACATAACTACCTGTTACCAAGTCAAGAGGAATTTTTTGCCAAATTGAATGGAGGTAAATTTTTTTCTAAATTGGACCTGTCAGACAATTATCTACAAGTACTAGTAGATGAAGAGTGCTCAAAACTATTAACAATTAACACTCATAGAGGGTTATACAAATTCAACCGATTTTCTTTTGGGATAAAGGTAGCACCAAGCATATTCCAACAGATAATGGATACCATGCTCGCCAGTTTGGATTGTGTACAAGCATATTTGGATGATGTACTTATTAAAAGTAAGACCCGAAAGCAACATACATGTAGTGGGATTGGTTAGGCTAATACTAATTAGCATAACTATGCCACTATATAGACAGAACTTGAGATAGACTGGGGTGAGTGTCACTTGTGACGACTACTACTATTGTGTGTATATCAACTTCATAACAAAATGACATTGTCAAATGAAGCTATGTTGGATTTAGAAAACTCTGAAGAAGTTATCTGGTTAAAGTGTTTTGAGGCAATGGCCAGAATGAAGAAATTAGCTGATGACTAGAAGCAGAAACAAATCACGGATTTATTTATGGCCACCACAGGATGTGAAGCCATTAAGCAAGTATCCTTAATGATTTACCTTGAAGAGATTGAAACTTTAAACTTTAAAGACATTAAGGACATAATTTTAAAGTATATTCAACCAAAAAAATTAACGTTTTTGGGATATTAAATCTCAGAGGAGGGTACTTCACCGGATTCAAAGTTGATACAGAAAATATTGAATGTTTCACCTCCAAGTAATAAGAAAGAGTTGGAATCATTTCTTGGATTAACTAATTTTTATAGCAAGTTCTTTTCAAAATATTCAGAAAGAATTGAGCCTTTTACTGATTTACAAAAAAAAATAAGGCGTTTCAGTGGCATAATATTCACCGAAAAGCCTTTGTTAAATTGAAGTTAGCATTATCCAAGAAACCAGTTGTCAAGATTTTTGACCCTAAAAAAGAAGTTACATTAACAACAGATGCAAATGGACAGTCTGTATCAGCAATTTTGTCACAGGAAGGACATGCCTGGTGATGTATCTTTCCAGAAAGTTAATGCCAGCTGAAAAGAATTATTCAAATATTGAAAAGGAAGTGTTGGCTATAGTATGGAGCATGACCAGAGCAAGAGAATTTTTGTTAGGAAAAAAGTTTTTGCTCAGATCAGATCATAAGCCACTAGAATTTATATTCCATCCCAGAAAAGAATTGCTGAAGGTCACATTGTCAAGGATACTAAGATGGGCAATGAAGTTGATGGCCTTTGACTACGAAATAGAATATGTGAAAGGAAACACGATCACATACATAGATGCACTACCATGACTACAGTTTGAGGAGGAACAACATGAGAAAAATGAGAAAGTGGAAGATGGAATTTTACATTGGGTGGAGACAGATGTATTGCCCATTAACAGTCAGAATATGCTCTGCACCTGAACGTTACAAGAACTGTATGTGAAACTCTGAGTCATACTGTCAACATTGGATATTATGTATATTCACTAATTTATACTTATAGCTCTGTCATATAACATTGATCACCATATTTATAACAACTGAGGTAGAAGTATATTTATATGTATGTGAAAGTATATGTGCATGCATGCATGTATGTATATTTTTTATCATACTCTTACACATATATATATATATATATATATATATATATATATATATATATATGTCACCCTGAGAGAAGAAGGAGGCCATCTTGGAATGAAGGTGACCAGATTGAAAAAGGTAAATACAGATGGAATTTAACAGCTTGTGCCCTTTGCTGGTTATCTTGGGCAATATAAGTTGGTAAATACAATTGTCATAAGCTGTTACTGATAACAACAATAATGATGTTATTGTTATTGCTCTTACTTTGTTCATTCATACTATTTGTTGCATAAATAAAATTTATTTTTAAATCAGAAAAAATTTTTTGTTCTTTTATTGTCCTCTCTCCTTGATAGTGTTTTTTTCTCATATTCTTTAACACTCCGTAACTGCTTGTATACTAGTGTCTTCATTGCCTTGTTTGGGGTTAAATGATAAAAAAACTTACTCTGTACTTTTTAACTGCAATAATCAAATGGAATACTGTATTTGATGGCATGAAAGATGCACAAGCCTATTAGAACCTCCTACCATTTCAGTAGGATATAGTCAGGGAAAGAGCATTCAGTATATTTAAAGCAAGCCATCAGTACATTACAAAAAGATTTCAGCTACAGCAGGAAAAATTACTGTTTATAAAAAGCAAGCTAGTATCATAACAAAGTATAAAGCAAAAAATAACAGCTGTAAAAATATTGTTACTGTAATAAAGCAAAGTGTTGATGGTACTTTATTGTGATAATTCCTTTTACAGTAGCATTAATAATCATAATAATAATAATAGTAAAAATAAAATTCCACCTGCAACTAATTTATTTGGCATTTGATAACCTCTTCAATAGACATCAGAAAAATATTCAATCTTTGTGAGATAGTAAATACTTTTGAAGTTTACATTTGGTTGGAAATTGAGGATGTTTTCAGATAAATGATCACTTTCATTTAAGTATATCAATTCTTTTA